GTGTGGTCACTGAATGGTCAGTTTGAATGCCTCCCGGTGGGGTTTAACTTTGTTGCCTTGAAAGCAGGCTGAACAATTGAAATATTACAAATTTTTAAACACACACACACACACACTCAAACACCCACACACACATACACACACAAACTCCCACACACACACGCACGCACACACACACACACAAACACATGATGACGAAAATATTGATGGCGATATTATACAGAAGATAACGGGAGTGTTTTATTGCCCCGAGGTCAAGGGTCAACTTTAAAATGGGTTGGCTAATGATCGAGATATTGGCGAAGATAGTGTCCGTGACGATCTTGATGATGATGATGACGATGATGATGATGATGACGATGATGATGATGTTGATGATGATGATGATGATGACGATGATGAAGATGATCGTTAAACAAACACACGCAAACACATACACATCACTCACACACACACACCGACCCACACACACACACACACACACACACACACACACACACACAAACCTACACACACACATACATTCGTACGTATAAACAACGCATGTGCAATAGAACATAGATATAGTAATTTCTTTCTATACACCACCATCACCAACTGAATAATTTTGAAAGATGTTTACATTATTCTTTCCTATATTCAGATATCTATGGTACAAAGATAGGCAGCCTTTTGCATCATCACTATCATTATCGTCACTATCATCATCATCATCGCTATCATCATCATCATCGTACAACGATTACAACAACGAAACGTTAACTGTGACAGAAAACAACAACAACAACAACAATGATAATAATAATAATAACAATAAGAACAACAACATTGAAGGAACGTACACATGTGAAGTTGTCAACGAATTCGGGGTCGTGACCTCTGCCAATTACATCGTCAGGAAAGCATGTCAGTCAAGTCGCCTTCGCATTTACATTAATTCTGTAAACACTCACACACACACAGATACACACACAAACACACAAACACACACACACACAAACGCTATGCATAGGACGCTCATAAATGACATTATTATTATTATTATTATTATTATTATTATTATTATTATTATTATTACTACTACTACTATTATTATTATTATTATTACTATTATTATTATTATTATTATTACTACTACTACTACTATTATTATTATTATTACTATTATTATTATTATTATTATTACTACTACTACTATTATTATTATTATTATTATTACTATTATTATTATTATTATTATTAACACACACACACACAAACACACATGAACACGTACATACAAAAACACGCTAAGACGAGTAAATTTCACATTTTCGTTGTACCTTCGCGAGGTATTAAACTTATGTGTGCGTCTGTGTATACGCACTTCACAAACATTCACACACACACGCGCACACGCACACGCACACACACACGCACGCACACACCACACACGCACACACAACCAGACCTAGAGACAATGGCTTGCACTTCCACCACTCCAACAATCCACACACCGAACGTCGGTGACTCCTTGACTCTCCACTGCAACCCCCCTCGAAGTTTCCCGCCCTTGGTGATCGGTTGGGGGCTGTTCAACCCGCAGAAGTTTACCACCAGTAACCTACCGATTAATGAGAGGGTGCAGATGGATTTCAACGGTTAGTGATGATGATGATGATGATGATGATGATGATGAAAAACGATGATGATGATGATGGTGATGATGACGACGATGATGAAGACGACGATGATGATGATGATGACGTTGACATGGAGGTGCTGATTGTGATACTCGTTTTTCGGGTTTTAGTATCATTTCCCATGATAATATTATAAAAACTAATGATGATATCATGGTAAATAATGATACTGATAATATATAAAGAGACAAAGATACGATATCTTTTTGATCAGTTTAGTAATGTATCATATGATGATGGTGTCTCAGTATGAAAAACTGATGATGATATCATAGTAAACTATTATGATGTCATAGAAACTTATAATGATACCATAGAATCTTATATTGGTATCATAGAAACTTATGATAATACCATAGAAACTTATAATGGTATCATAGAAACTTACGATGATACCACAGAAACTAATGATGATATGATAAAAAATAATAGTAACATACAAAATGATAATGATATGATATCATTGCTAACATCCTTTACATCACTTTAACCACTCAGCGAAGCTTATATTAGCGTCATAAATAACATCAACATAAATATCTATGTATGTATGTATGTATGTATGTATGTATGCATGTATGTATGTATGTATGCATGTATGTATGTATGTATGTATGTATGTATGTATGTATGTATGTATGCATGTATGTATGTATGTATGCATGTATGTATGTATGTATGTATGCATGTATGTATGTATGTATGTATGTATGTATGTATGTATGTATGTATGTATGTATGTATGTATGTATGTAA